ATAAATTAATTATATATATATATATATATATATATATATATATATATGTAAATAATTATGTTAAAAGGTTTTCAGGCCGGGCTCGGCCATGCCTAGTGCTGGCCAAGATCTTATCATGTGGGCAAATCAGGCCTGGCCCCAAACACCACATCCCAGCCCAACCCCGTTGGCAATCCTATTCAAGTGAAGCTAGCTTACTTCTGGTGCTTAGGAAGAGAAATTCCATGAAGGTTTTCTCAGAGGGTAAGAATATATCATTCTGATTAGTCAGTGATGGGTCTTAAAATTGGATGATGTGCTGCACTTTTCAACACCGTACCTGTGAAAAATCATCTACATAAACTAGCGTTGCACCAACATGAAAATATTGTATTTGTAGATCTTTTTGAGGAGCTTTAGGCATCTTTTGGGTTTTCCATATGGATGTGGATAAGATTGGGGTTCTCAAGAAGCTTCTAAATTAGGTATCTGGTGTTTATATTAGCTTTACACATGGTAGGACAAATTTTGTGTAAATTTGGATTAAATATAATAATGTTAGACTCTCTTGGGATCCCAATTCTTCCCCATTCTTATCCCTATGACCACATCCATATGGAGACCTAGGAGATGCCTAAAATTACTCAAAAGATCTTCTAAGAATAGTTTCTGGAAATCAAATAGATACCTTATAATCTTCGAAGATCTTCTAAACAGGATCCTAATTGTAAATTTTTGGAAATTAACCAAAATATAATATTACGTAAACTACCCTAAATTCACTGTAAAACTAATTGACTTAAGTACCTGCAATCCTGGCTGCGTCAGATGCTCCCATGTTTACAACAGCGGGGATACTCAGGACTTCAAGAATGAGAGTAATCAGTCTGAATCAGTCATTCTGTTCCATGATCATGCGCAATACATCTACAAGAAAATTACTTATTGTAAGTTTGGGTTGACATGAAGCATGTTAACCAATGGACACCACATAAGAATAGGATCCATCATTTTGAACCATTCCGGTATCTCTTTGTACTTTCCCTGTTACATATTCCTCAAGCTTTTTTTTTTTTAAATTTGCATGTTTTAAATTCTCTCTCTGTATTTAAATGTGTTCCTTTAAGTAATAGCTTGAGTAAGTAATATCTTGATAATGGCTCATCAAAACATCTTTCTTATCTTAAAAAAGTATTTTGAATGATTACATTGAGCTTCATATTCTATTCTTATCCTTGACCTAAAAATAGGAATTTATTCTTGCTTATTTCTTTAGGGAGGCGGGATATCCAAAAGTTCAAATAGGTGTAGTTGGTGCTGGTACAGCCAGTGTATTTGACAAAGTAGTGCAATCTTCTGAAAGCCCATTGAATCTTGCTTTTTGTCCATCCAAAGGTAAGGAAAACTTCCTCTGTAGTTCATTGACATCAATTGTTTGATGTATCTATTCATATCTATGTATGTAAGCATGTGAGTAATATGTTTTGTTGTATGTGGAGATGTGTCCATTTTAATTATGTATGTGTGTCTATTTATCTCTTGGTTTATATGTAGTTCTGAATTTGTGTGTGTGGAAATAAAAGCACATTTCGAAATAATACTGCTGCAGTTATCACTTTAAAAAAGTTTTTCTTTGCCAAGAAACTATGGATTGCCAAAAATCCTGTAGCTGATTGGCAATCAGCATTTCCTCCAAAAACAAATGTAATTACGTTCATCAGTTTTGCTATGTATTCATTCATTGCTCAGATCTGGAGCACTTGTTTATGAGGAGTCATTGGTATGAAAATGTTACACATGAATAAGGTGAGGAAGGATGGTGAGATGTTGAATGAAGAAGTTTGTTGTCCAGTCACGCTGTTATGTGTGGACCTATTCGTTCTCTCTCTCTCTCTAGATATGTGTGTGTGTGTACATGTGCATGTGTGTGTGTATACATGTATGTATGTATGTGTCTATATAGTTTTATATATATATTATAATTGGGAAGCCACTACGCAACACCTATGGATGAAAATGAACAGTGTTTTTGCCCATAGGCTTGGCACCGTCCAATTTTTTTGGACAGTGAGGATTAAAGATTGCCATGGACCTAGCATGTCCGTAGCGGTCAAAAAACACATGGCAATTGCCACAGACCACACGTTGTCTCTTGTGGCTCCGTTCATAAACCACCACGGACAAAGAATGTCCGGGGCGGGGCGAAACACTTCAAAATCGACTATAGGTGTTTTTAAGAATTTTTTGTATAATTATGGTTGAGAGTGTTTTACTCTTATATGCTTAATGTTCATGAGATGTCAAAGTGTGTACACGTTCCATGAATAAACAACAAATATTACAACTATGCCTATGTACAATACACAAATATTAAGTGTGATATTGCTAATAGTCCCTTGCAAGGTTTCCTGTGTTCTATACATGGATAGCTTGGCTTTAAGAAACCTATACCGAATTTGTGTACGCACCTTGGTGAACATATGAGGTGCTAGTTAGTTCAAATATTGGGACTTATGACCTCACTGAGAGTATGACCTTTAATAGTGCAGAATGGCAGACCAGGATTTGTGTAGCCGACCCCAATTAATTGGAAAAAGGCTATGATGATGATGATGATGATGATGATGATGACGATGATGATGATGATGATGACGATGATGATGATGATGACGACCTTGGTGAATATATCCACGATTTTATTTTCTGTACTGTTGAATTTGGTCAAAACAAAAAAAGGACGAAGTTCTACAATCAGTGGAGGGTTCCCTTGAGTTCTTCATTGCGGCCCCTCGAAAGGTTTGCTTCTTGCTGCACCTCGGATGATCACGGAAGTAGCGAGAGGTTGCAGTGTCCCCATACCATAATCCAACCACGTTCCTGCCCACAGTTCAATATCTTTCCTATGATTACTTCCCTCTTCGTCCTGTTTTCTTTGCTAGCTATTACTAAAGCAAACAATGATAGATAGCAGTAGAGCCAGAGGAGTACAAAAACCTTGGCAAAAAAGACCCCATCCTCTACTTGAATGAGGAAATGGATTCACTAACCAACAACTGTGGCGGGCGGAGCTCTCCATGCTTCTAGTGAATCTCATTACCCCTTCCCCTCAAGCAAGGAAGGCGGGGTTGTTCTCACTCAAGACTTCCATCATCTCAATTTCGCGATCTTCAATTTTTTCTCTCATAAAGTGTTGATCAATCTTGATGTGCTTTGTCTTCCCATGATGCACCGGGTTGAGAGCAATTGAAAAATGGCATTACAGTTGTCACAACATAGTAGTGATATTGAGATGTTCTGGTTGAGTTGTTAGTAGATATTGAATCCGAGAAATTTCAGTTGTGACTCTTTGCTTGACCTAGCTATGGTTCTTTGTATTCTGACTTCATGAAATGAAATGGTGCCCGAGAAACACAAAGTTACTAAATATGGAGTGAGCAAGTTCTAGGTGTTCAGCCCAACTGCATCGGAGTATGCAATGGCAATGAGAGGATTATAGGAAGTTCCTCCTAGTATATACGATGCCACCACTAATAGTTGCATTAATATATCAAAGTATGCCTTTCCGTACCTCGAAATGAGTAGAATATGGTGCATCCATCAACTTGTTGACTTGGTTCGGTCAGCTGTGTGAATGTTAGCTAATGGAGGGTGCCAACAATATTGTAATAATGTCGAAGATTAGAAACAGGTTCTCCTTTCATGAATGGGTGCAGGAGTCATGGTAGGTTTTCAACCCTTTATGCCAGTATGAGAAAGCAAGTCCACAGCGTACTTATGCTGGGAAACTGTAAGGTTATTATTATTATTTTTTTTTTGTTTTGAACATTAACTGTTAGTAGTGGGTTAGCAATTTTTGAAATCGTTGGTAGTTTTCTAAAGGGGTTAGCATTGGTAGGAATGAAAACTAAGACTGGTAGCTGGGTTACAGGTGGTGCTACCACCAACGTGAAAGAAATACCATACTTAAACCAGATCTTTCATCTGAAACTTTGGGTTTAACTCTTATATGGTTTGAATGTGATCATGCAAGCTGCCAGTAATAACAATAGCATCTACCAAGAGAAGCAAACTTATGATTCCATGCTCATCCATGTGGATTTCCAATGAATAGTCCATTTGATATGCTTAAAACCTCTTTTGGAAGTGCTGTGCTCCACAGAGACTGTGATTGAACTTCATTGGCGTGATGTTTGGTTTTATATGTGATGATGGGATCATCTGATAAGATGGACAAACTACTATTGCCACTATTGTTGCCTGCTTTATGCATGATGGAGTGTTAACTGAGAGTTACCATCATTCATGCCATCATTCATGCTGCATGAAACGTCACTGTTGCCACAATTTTACAGATTATTTCATAAGATAATTTCATTGTTCCAACCAGCATCAGTAATGCCATTGTTATTTTTCTTTATCTTTTTAAATTTCATATATTTGTCTTTATTTTTCATATTTTCTCTAAATTTTTATTTTTTGTATTTTTCCCTTGTTTTATTTTGAATTATATTACTCTTTTGACTGGTGAACTGGTCCTGTCTGACCTATTTGACAAGACGGGTGCACTCACCAAGTGGACACTAGTCCAGTCTTGATGACACCAGTCCTATGTGAACCTAAATTCTAGGATTGTAATATCATTGCTGAGCCCTAATTGGGCAAATGTTGTGATGTTAGGTTTCTATAGTTGATTTTCATTGGTTTTTACTGCACTCGAAATTCGTCCATCTTCGAGTAGAAGATATGTTTTTGAATATTATATGGCATAAATCTAACATACATAATGTAAACTTGAATGTAAGTAACAGTAATTTTATGAGCCTTGTGTATTTCAGCTTACTGTTATGGTGTGCAATAACAACATAGATCCTATGGCTTCAGATTTGACTTTAAGTGCGTCTGTTATGTGTTCATAAGTGATTTTGTATGCGGAAGCCTTTTGTAGTCTTATTTGATTCTTTTTCTAATTCTTCCAGCAACAGGCAAGGTTTTAGCTTCAGAGCTTCCAATGCGTGGGAAGACTTGTACCGTGCTATATCCTACTTCGATGAAGGCAAGCAATGAGATTGGTATGTGCATTTGAGCTTTGTTGCTTTCTTAGATGTGGTCTGCTTTGCTGAGAAGTCATTCACCCAAATTACTGGATAAAATTTTTGTTTGAAGTCTTGTTAGCTAACAACAATTCACGCTTTTTTGATTTTTTAAGAAATAAAGACTCATGCTTTTAATTTGTCCCAGTGTGCTAACTGTTAGTAGTTGGAAATACATTGTCTTCTTGTGTCTTGTACTTCCTTCGCATATCTGTATCTAAAGGCCGATCAATATTTCTTGATGATTATTACTTTAGTGAGGTGTTGAACTTTCTTTGAAACCCGTTGTGTGATTATTTGACAATTCCCAATTTCTCATCTCTTCACTTGCTCCTATTCCCACAAATATTTCATATGGCGTTTCCTACCAGTGTTCAAAAATGCAAATTCAGCTGCCTTGGCGGATGCCTTATTTCCTTGGTGATAGGGTTTGAGTTTAACTCCAATCCCCTTAACTGAGCCAATGGAACAAGTATTTTTTAAAAAAAAAAAAGAAAAAAAAAAAGAAAGAAAAAAAAACTATTTGTGTTTTGCGTATGTTATCGTGTTGTATTATTCCAAATGCATATATACTACAGTTTGAAACTTGAAATTGAATTACTAAAACTTTGGAAGATTGAACCTTCCCTGAAATTCATTAAAAATTGTATGGTCATTAAGTGGTTACATAAGCCAGCTGTCCTTGCATGCCAATATGCTATAGTCACACCATACTTCACAATCCACATCAACCATCATATACCAGAACAGAAAGTCACTAAAGCTAAAACTCAAAAGACCTTAAACAACAAACTCAAAACAAGGCAACAAATCTCACTCAAATTTCAAATTGGGTTTCATAACCATCATTAGCACCATTGGTGGGAATTGGGACAACACCATCTCCATATCCATGGAGGCAAGGACCAAGATCACCTCCAGCTGCATCTGAATCTGATGATGATGCCCCATCCTCATTATCAAAGCCATCTCTCTCCACATATCACTCTTCTTCCACACTCTCCATTGAGTCAGTTTAGTCACTCTCCTCTGTTATTGTCCTCATCGTCTTCCTTCTAGATTGAGTTTGAGTGGCCCCCACGGGGCTCAATGGCATTCCAATAACCTCGTGGACCAGCTCAAGCTCTCTCCAAGGTGTCGGGGTATGTGGCCTTTAAAAGCCTTAAAGAGCATGTAAAGACTCATGATTATAGTGACATTGTACTCTAGTGGGAGTGTGGTCCATGTGGGACCAGAGTGGCATGTTTTGCAATGCCCCTTTTATTCACTTGGGTGTGGAGTTCTAGACCTGGGAATGGAGTCCGAACATTTTAGCCTTGGGCGCAAGGCACAACCATGGAGGGTTTACACGCTCTTGTTGAGGTCGTAGAGATGCCCAAGGTATTTGTAGTCATGAGATAATTAGTTTCCTATGTGCGGTTGGCGGCTTGTGAGAGCAAAGGCTAAATCCTCAACATTACTACCGCACGGTATGTACCAATGTTGTCAGATTCGCTTTGAAACCTGCTTCGATTTGGTCTGAAAAATGAAGCAATTCAGTGCTTGGAGGGAAGGCTTCAGTTGTTTTATTTTAAAATAACTAAAATATATTTTATAATTTTATAAAAAAATTTAAAAATAAAAATTTAAAAATTTAAGAGTAAATTAATTTATTACTACCTATATGTTCGAACCATCACCATTGATAAACCATAATCACAAAGAGTTCTAGCGTTGGCATTCATCATTTTGCATTCCAAATAAAAATAAAATGACAAATATGCGAACATCCATCATTTTTTGTTTTAGCAATGCATCAAATGAAAAGTGGGTGAAACATATGGTAAAGTGGGTTATGAATTGAAAACCCAATGGTTTTAACTCTTGAACTTGTAGTTTTAAATATTAAAATGGCTAAAAGCATATTATTTTAATACTACAATTTTTTTTTAATGCCATTGGAACATCATAGAACTTCATAGTTGCTCTTATCCTCTTTGGCCAAATCGACCTGAATCTGGCTGAAGCTACCTAATCAACCCTTTTTTTTTCTGCATTTCGCTTCGGTACAAAGGAGATAATAGAAGGCTTCGCCGCTGTTAGCCGAAGCGAAGCGAACTTAACAAGGCTGGTATGTACACATGACATCCACATCTATAGGATGGTCCAAAATGCATTTATTCTTGCGGATAGGCACCACTGTTGGGGCTTTCTGGAGGGTCATCCTTTGCTAAGGTCGGAGAGATACCCAGGAGATGGTTTGTAGGCCCGGAGAGCTTCGTGGTCTCCTTTGTGCGTGGTAAGCCTATGAGAGCAAGGGTCAAAATCCTCAACAAGCTTCCGCACAGTATGTACATATGGCAACTGCATTATGGGAAGCAACCTTGTAGACGGATATGTATACATCTAGATAAAGAGATTCCTTGAACTATAATGATAGATACATCTGACTTGTTCTTGGGGAGGAACTTGTAATCCACATTTTGGGGTCGTGTGTTCACTTTTATTGGCATCATGAGCTCCTATGCATGATTGTGGATCATGGAGCCTTTGAGTGGTTTGAGAAAATAGTTATGGATCACGGTTTCTAGCTCAGGTGGACTGCCTCGATAGTCACTTTTCTTGACCCTATAGTAGCAATCTACTTCTAGATGCATTTTTGAGTTTTTTAGATTTGTTTTTTATGAATGTTAGAAACATTGTTTTTAGCTTCACTTATGATTCTATATTTTTCTTAAAATTTTTTTCAAAATTTCAAAAAATTATTTTATGTTGTTAAAACATAAACAGGGAATATAATTGATAATTCATAATTTTGTAGGGGCCTGGGTTTAGGTCCATGTGGGAGGGCCTATTTCCCACAGATGGGTAGATTATAGAGGGGTGGACTTGGCCATACACCCCACACATAGTTGGACGCCCCTAATTAAATTTAAGTTGTTATTTTTTTTTGCTTTGTTTTAGTGTCCTATTTTGGTTAGGATTCCTGCTTGGACTAAGACTACTTAGATTTGAATTCTAATTAAATTATAAGTCCAAATTTATTGGGTGCCCTATTTGAATTAGGATTCATGCTTGGACTCGGACTCCTACTTGGACTAAGACTCTTACCTAGATCAAAATTCAAATTAAAATAAAAGTCTACCTTCCTAGATTTAATAGAATTGAATATAGGTCAAAGATTTAGGAGATAAGGTTCCTAGAACTCCTTGAATCATGTGCTGATTTTTGTGATGGATGGCTCATATTTTCTCTCTTACCTCAGATTTCTAGGAATCCTATTGGTGAAATTAAATTCTAATTAAGATAGGAATTACCATTGAAAACCTATAAATAGCGGTGTCACCCCTTATTTCATTCATTAAGTTTTCTAACCCCTTTCTCTCCTACTCTCTTTTCCATCTCCGTGCCTCATCACTCTCTATAATGGCACACTAAGGGAGCACGCCCAACCCACATTGTAGCAAGGGGGTGCCACATAGTGGCATACTCTAAGGGGCTGGGCACATGGATTTTGGGGGCATGGATTTTTAATATCTTGGATATTACTGAAATCCACTATTTGGTTTGCTTAATGGATAGGATATTAGAATTCCATGGACATTACAAATCTTGGAACTCATTTAACTTTTCCACAATTTCATTTCCACACCAAAACCTGTATTTTTGAATTTCCAAGCTTCATGGATTCCTCTTGTTGGCCCCCTCGACCCGAAACATAAGACATATTTGGTAAGTATGAAAATTCTAGAGAGAGAAAGTAGCTAAAAATTGTTAGAGAGATAAACATTCTCAAAAACTCTTAGAGAGAGAAAGTACCTAAATTTTTTTAGAGAGAAATTATCTCAAAATATTTAGAGAGAGAAACTATCTCATTTTAAGTTTTAGAGAGAAAAATTATATCAAATGTTAGAGAGTAATTTTAGAGAGAGAAACTATACTTGAACAATTTTAGAGAGAGAAACTATCTCAAATTTTAATAGAGAGACTATCTCAAATTTAAAGTTTGAGAGAGAAAAAGAGCTATCTTAAATTTTAGAGAGAGAAAATATATCAAATTTTAGAGTGTACGTAAAGATTTTTAGAGATAGAAACTATCTCAATTTTTTTAGAGAGAAACTATCTCAAATTTTAAGTTTTAGAAAGAGAAAATATATTAAAATTTCAAAGATAGGAACTATACCAAATTTTAAAGAGAAACTACCTAAAAGTTTTTAGAGATAGAAATTGTCTCAAATTTCGAAAGAAACCTTCTCAAATCTTGAGTTGTAGAGAGAGAAAGTATATTAAAATTTTAAAGATAGGAATTATATCAAAATTTAGAGAGAACCTACCTAAAAATTTTAGAGAGATGTATCTCAAAGATTTCAGAGAGAGAAACTATCTCAAATTTTAAGTTTTTGAGAGAGAAAATATATTAAAATTTTAGAGATAGAAATTATATCAAATTTTAGAGAGAGATACAACCTTAAATTTTTAGAGAGAGAAACTATCTCAAAATTTTTAGAGAGAAACTATAGCAAATTTTATGTTTTAGAGAGAGAAAGTATCTTAAAATTTTAAGAGAGATACTATATCAAATTTTAGATAGAGAAAGTACCTGAAATTGTAGATAGAAACTATTTCAAATTTTTTGAAGGGAGACACTATCTCCAATTTTAAGTTTTAGAGCGAGAAAGAATCTTAAAAATGTAAGATATAGTGACTACATCAAATTTTTGAGAGAAAGTACCTAAAAATTTCTAAAGAGAGAAACTATCTCAAAATTTTTTGAGAGAAATTATCTCAAATTTTAAGTTTTAGAGAGAAAGTATCTTAAAATTTTAGTGAGAAAAACTATATTATATTTTAGAGAGAGACTACCAAAACATTTTTAGAGAGAGAAACTATCTCAAAATCATTAGAGAGGGAAACTCTCTAATTTTTAGTTGTAGAGAGAATCTTAGAATTTTAGAGAGAGAAACTACATTAAATTTTAGATAGACAAGACAATCTGATTTTTTTTTGAGTAAGAAAGCACCTGAAAATTTTAGAGAGAGAAACTATCTCAAAATTTTTGGAGGAACAATTTTAAATTTTATGTTTTGGAGAGAAAATATATTAAAATTTTATAGAGAAACCATATCAAATTTTAGAGAGAGAAGCTGAAAAGTTTTAGAGGGGCTATCCCAAATTTTGAGTTTAGCGAGAAAGTATATTAAATTTTTAGAGAGAGAACCATATCAAATTTTGTTACCAAACAATGGACTTGGAAATGATTGTAAGGAATCTATGAAGTTTATATAGTTTATCCAAACAAGAGATTTGAGGAATCCATAACAAAAATCCTTGTTACTGAAAATCTATAAATTTTATTGGATTTCAAATATCCAAGATTCCTAATTTCTTCCTATCCAAATGGGCCCTAAGAGGTTTTAGGAAAAACCTTAGACCCTGTTCACGCTCTCAAACGCAGTTCTCTGTAGGGTATTGCCCAAGGAGCTTCCCAATCTATACAGTTCTGCAGGGCCAAATGTTCAAGAAGTGCGCCGTTGGTGCGATAATTGGTGTGGGGTGTACTAAGTACTTAGGGGGTGGCTCTAACCAAAGTTTAGTTAGTCTTCTCAGGCTAATTTATTTATTTTCAGTTTATATATATTTCTAGATCCTATTTGTTTTAGAATTCGAATTTGAAGTTTTAAATTTAGCCCTTGAATAGAGTTTTACTTTGGCAGTAAAACTAATAGATCTAGATTGTGGTATGTCCATTTTTCTATTTCTACATTGTATTATGCCCATTTCAAGTAGAACTCCATTATTAATAAAGAAAAGTTTGAATTTATGCCCCTACATAGCCACACCTTTCATTGGTATCAGAGCATGTCCTTTTACTACCAGAGTTTAGGAATTTTTTTCTTTTCTTGAGTCAAGAATTTGGCAGCCAAAGGCTTTATGGCTGAATTTGTGAAGATCAAAAGCTTCGATGGGAAGAACCACACAAGCTGGAAAAGAATGATAAGCTAGGTCCTCTTTGAGGAAGGGCTTAGTCAGCTGCTCATAGGGGACCCTCCACCTGAACTGAGAGGCAATTCTTATAAGAGACAATTAATTAGGAATACTTATGTTCAGCGGGAGTGTAAGAACCCTGGTTAAGTTTCTCCTTACGATGGCTATGATGTCTCCCACGCTCTTGAGTACGAGACCCTAAAAATTGCAAAAGAGATTCATCAAAACCTCAAAAAGAATTATGCTACTCCTTCCCTTATCAGAAAGACTCTTGCTATGAAGCAGCATCTAACCTAAACATGAAAGGGAAAGTTGGACGAGCACATCCAAACTTTTAGAGCTCTGATTCGAGAACTTGAGGCTGCCTTCTTAGGCTCTCTCTCTCTCCCTCTCTCTCTATATGGCACGCCACCCATAAGAAGAAAAATAAGGGTGGCATGCCTAACCTGAATTAAGGTTTGAGGAGAGAGGGGCAAGCCTAGCCCTAGAAAAGGGAAGTTCCTTTGAGGCATGCCCTAATTTGTCCTAACGGGTTCTAATAAAACCTTGATTGTCTCTTATGCGTCTAAAACCCTAGTTTAAAGGTATTGCCTAGGGAAACTTCCTGGCTCCAAAAATTCAGCAAGACCAATATAATCGAAGTGCGCCATCAGTCAAGAGATTTGGTGTGGGGTGTACTAAGTCCTGTAGGTGTACTAAGTCCTAAGGTGAACCCCCTTATCATTGTACAAAATTTTCTTTGGTTCTATCTCTCCCTCTCTCTCTCTATGGCACGCCACCCATAAGAAGAAAAATAAGGGTGGCATGCCTAACCGAATTAAGGTTTGAGGAGAGAGGGGCAAGCCTAGCCCTAGAAAAGGGAAGTTCCTTTGAGGCATGCCCTAATTTGTCCTAACGGGTTCTAATAAAACCTTGATTGTCTCTTATGCTTCGAAAACCCTAGTTTAAAGGTATTGCCTAGGGAAACTTCCTGGCTCCTAGAATTCAACAAGACCAATATAATCGAAGTGCGCCATCAGTCAAGAAATTTGGTGTGGGGTGTACTAAGTCCTGAAGGGTGACCCTAGGCATAATTCATTAAGTCTTCCTAATTGTTTACTTTCAATCATATTTCCATATTAACTGTGATTTTCCTGAACATTAGTTGAACTTAAATTGTTAGTGGAAGCTTGTTTTTCATTCCTGAGTTGTGCCTATTTTAGGGTTTTAATTTTCATTTAAAGCAGTATATTGTGGCAGTTGTAAGTGGAACTGAGATTCAATAATTTTAAAAGAAAATTCTTGTTTTTCTTTTCTTTTTTTTTTTTTTTTTTTATAGTTCTTGAATTCCACACAGCCACATCTTTCATGTTTCCCATTTTGAACCTCGGGAGTTAAATGTAGATTGGTAAGTTGGTTTCTTTCTATTTATTTTGTTGTACTAATTTTCTGTATTACACAAAAAGGTTGTTCAAGTCTCTATCCATTTCATTATCCAGAAAATAAAGAATTTGTTTGCTTGTAAAGACTAGTTTTTATTATTCTTTTTCTCTGGGTGTTGTTCAAAGTCCTACAAATCAAGTTAGACTAGTGCACGTGCCGTGTGGCTTCCACGGATTTCTTCAGTTAATGAGGATTATATCGTAGATAACTGGATTTTTCTCAACGACAAGCTAATTTTAGCTATAATTATCGTACAATATTGATACGTTGTTGTAAATGATTTGGTAATCAATGGGGAACAAGTTTTGGATGAGTAAAAAGAATTTGGAAGAAATTGTGTTGTACTTCAATCTCAGGGAAGAATATCTAAAACTGGATGGGTCTTCTAATTTTGTTTCTGGGTAGATCTCGAACAGTATAAATGTCTTGGTGATGTAGTTTAGCTTCTTTATTCTATTTCACTTCACCAAATTATTATGCTGCTCCTACATGTGAGCTACCATTGGTTTCCTGATGGTACTGCAAGGTCTATATTGAGGCTTACCTTCATCTAAGTCCATTGTTGAACTACATTTCTTTTGGAAATTTTCCACAGTTCCTTGAAGACATACACTATTGTTTTTCTGATTAACGGATTATGCTTCTCCGTTGTGCTCTGTCCTTTTTGATATCCTTTCCATATGTTGCACTTTGTCATTTATCTACATTTAGGGGGCACGGTAGTATATTTTACTTTTCTATAGATGGCTTAAAGTGCTGCAACCTTTGTAAATCATTTAGGCATGTTGCTATTCTACTTTTGAGCTACATTTGGAAGACTATAACACGGTAGCTGATGTTACTAGAAAACCTTCTTCCAAATCATCTACTACATTTCATATGTGAGAGTGCCCTTTTTCCGGAGCTAGAATAAGAAAGATGAAAACAGGATGTGTTGGTACTGTTTGACTTTAGTATAATGAAAAAAGAAAAAAAGAAAAAAAGGTAATGTTTAACTGTAGCATAAAATCTGAATTCTTTGGAACCATGGCCGCTGATTTTACAGTTAATTCCTGCAGGGGGCAGCCTCTCTGATCGTGGATTTGTGGTGACAAGACTAAATACCTACTCCACGGTAAAGCTTTCTGTTTATTCTTTGTTTTGAAGCAGTTTTTTGTGCTGCTTCAGCTGGAGCCCCATGAGCAGTGATATGGCCTTTGGATGCCACATAGAAAATACACTTTAAACTAGCCCACTTGCATAGAGTGGCCATTCTTAATTAACTTTGCTGGCCCTTCAGTTGCTTTGTGGGTAGCAATGGTGTATAATCACTTTGGCAGTGTTTAAAATTTTTTACTCAACTCCAAGGATTTTGTGGGGGTAAAGAAAGCTGTTTATGGGTGGCTAGCCATGAATAGAGCCAAGTGAGGATATCAGGGTTCATATTACTTCTTAGTTTGGCTTATTCCTGATTTGATTGGTGTGTCACTACTTATCTCCTGTGTCTCTGCCAAGGTGCCTGTTCAAGAAATAGACCAAGACATCCTAATGCAAGCACTGAGTGCACCTGTGGTGGCGTTGGCTTCTCCTTCTGCTGCCGGGTAGCTATTTAGTACTAATTGTGTTCTATTATCATGTCTGCTAGGTGATATTATTTAAGGTTTGCCTAAGTATCTTATTCATATTGTTTCATTTGGATTATTGTGTCATACCCTGAATCATCATCTTATTTTATTGCTAGTGTTTGGGCTGACATCATTGCGAGATCAGAGAATTGGGACAACTCTGTTGCTTGCATTGGTGAGACAACTGCTTTAGCAGCAAGGAAGTTAGGCTTCAAGTATATATATTACCCAAGAAACCCAGGCCTTGAGGGGTACTATTCATGCTTCACTGCTAAATATTTTTTTTCCTGAAAATATTTGATAATTACTTTTTAAATTTTTGTTTTGGTAAGTAAACTGTCATACTGATAGTCATCATGAAAATAGTGCAACTGCAGTTACCCTTCCACTCTATTTAATGTTGCTACTCATGGCCTTGTACGTGGTTGTTAATATTCTTGAACAAGTACGTTTTAGGAAGTTATCCTGGAGATGCATTTATTATTGTCACAATCCATCAGATAATCCCCTGTTTCTTACATGATGGGAGCTCAAATTTACAATAGCCTATGAGAGACTTGAAGCTCTTACTGACAGACGTCTCTGTTTTATAAATTTGCTTCTTAGATTGTCTTCTAGAAGCGGGAACCTCTTGAAAATACTGCATTAACAAATGATCCATCCAGCATATTAAGATTGGGGAGAGGAAATGCAAGAAACCAAGCCTTGCGAATTATCTTTGTTGTGTTAAAAATGATTCTTTGCATATATAATATACAATGACTTTGATGCCTTCAGTTGGTGTAATAATGATCAGTCCAAATGCTTACCAGCCAAATGCATCATGCCTATTAAAGTGATACTGCCACTAAAGACAGTTATAAAATGGCTATATAATATACACACACACACACACACACACATAGGGTGAGGTTTGTGTAAGGTTGCCTACTTAAATTGTAGAACTTAGGTGCACCTCTAAAATTTGCTTCGAGATGTCGTTCCGGTGTCGGAAACTTTATGATGGCATAAAAATCTATTTTCATCCCTAGCTGTAAAATTTAAAATTTCAAAAACAGTACAGATCTAAGTGATCTTTGAATATATATTATACAATGATTCTTTGCATATATAATATACAATGACTTTGATGCCTTCAGTTGGTGTAATAATGATCAGTCCAAATGCTTACCAGCCAAATGCATCATGCCTATTAAAATGATACTGCCACTAAAGACAGTTATAAAATGGCTATATAATACACACACACATACACATACATAGGGTGAGGTTTGTGTAAGGTTGCCTACTTATATTTGTAGAACTTAGGTGCACCTCTAAAATTTGCTTCGAGATGTCGTTCCGGTGTCGGAAACTTTGTGATGGCATAAAAATCTATTTTCATTCGTAGCTGTAAAATTTAAAATTTCAAAAACAATATAGATCTAAGTGATCAATAAACACTTGAAAATCTTGAATAGAAATGGTTCAAGTAACTTGTTACAAGTTACTTTATATATATATATATATATATATATATATATATATAT